ACAACATGTTAAGAGTTAAATGTACCCAGTAGTGCAGGAGGGAGAGCTAGAGGAGCAGCAGCCCAAACGCTGCTTGTACAGAAGTGCTAATGGTTTCCTTGTCTGTGGAGTGTAACTGAAGAGGTTCAGGTTGCATCTGCTTTTGTAAATGACCTGTTCTTGGGTTGTATGAATTGATGGACTGTAATAAAGACTACTTAGCGCATGTATGGATCTGCTTTCCTACTGCTGTATATAAATGTACTGTGTGTGTATGTCTATATATTTATATATATAGACATATACAAAAGTATGTATTTCAAGTACACCTTAAGCAGGCTGAAGATTAATATATGAATTTGACTCATCCAGAGAAGCTGGATTTAGAAAACATTCAAACTTCTGTCTTTAATTTTAGAGCAGCATCGGTAGCGTTGTCTGACATGTGGTTTCTTACCTGTCACTCAAACTATTGTAATAAAATGTAATCTGTTTTTAAAGTATGGTATCTGTCAAACTATTAATAAAAGCTCTCCACAGGGCAGCAGCTTTGTGTGTTGAGATTTTTTTCCAGCATCCTTTTAAACACTATTGACAAGCTGTTGTTTCTTGGCACAATTAGATTTATGTACTTTTTTCAGATGTACTCAAAAAATGCTGTTTCACAAAAACCACAATATTAGCTTTAATACTTAAAAATGCACATTGTATTTTACTGTAATAGAAACTTTTGATTTTAACTAGTGTCTTTTTAACATCAAAATTACAAGATTTCATTTCCAAAACAATTTTTTTTTTTTGTAGTGGTTTTGAAACCTACTAATTATTCAGGAAGCTTGATTCTATTTCTTCCATGAGAAATTGTTTCACATAGATGAAAAAACCCTGAAACATTTTTGGCTTGAGACAATAAGCATTCCTGGTTAGAAGACCACCAGGCAGCGAGAAGTGCCTCTGTCTGAGCTGGACAGCAGTACTGGCAATCAGACCAAAGGGGCAAGGCAGTCCCTAGTAGAGGTCCCCAGTCAAAGTACAGCGGATGTGTGGGCTATTACAGATATTGGATTCGGCCCATGAAGTGATTTCCTCTTTCAGTTAAGAGTGAATGAGAAATGTGGTTGTGTGTATTGAGTACTGTGACAGATAGTGTCTCTAGGCAAACTAATTTTGATTCCTTACCTTTTAAAATATTAGAAATGTATACGTTCTGGCCCCCATTCTGTGAGCTGTAGCTCACGGAAAAACTAGGCATAGCATGTATGTATGCTTAATATGAATGTATAACCAAGCATTGCAAGCTGTGGAAGCTTGACACAGGCTTTGTCAATCAAAACATAGATGTTTTCTGACTTAGACTTTCAAATCAGCCATTCTATCTCCATATTGATAATATCAGTCTTGATATGATTTGATTGGTTTTGAATGGTTTTAATGCTCTAATAGTGTAGAAAACTCAACTCTTAAAATGTGTTCTTATCTTGCTGAAATTAATCCTAAGGAAAAACAAAACAGTGCAAACAGTAGACATTTAATGTGAACTTTCTTTAAATCTCTAAAGAGCGCTATTGAAAAGGGCATGCTCTGATGTATTGAGTAGCAGGCTGAAGCAAATGTAATTTCTAGAAGTACAGAGGTGTGGGAAATCAATACAAAATGCTAAATTGAATGGTACCATTTCAGAGGGTAGCCTGGTTTTAATAATTCAGATAGCTGCCATAAAAATAGGTTTCTTTTTCTATGTAAATAGAATAAATAATGTCTGGTGATTGTTTTAGATATAAATTTCCACAAGTTTGAGAAATATTATTTGTTTTAATAACATTAAGAAGAGTGTAGTTTGATGCAAAACCACTTGATTATCTTATTCAGTAGACTTGATTATGAAAAACTGCATTTTTTTCTGTGATTGATCTGTTTGTATTTTCTCTGTATGGTAAATCAATTTGAATGCATATGTATGAAGAGATTAAAATATTTTAACCTTTTTTTCCCCTGCCTTCTTTAGCTATGCTCCTTGGTGTCCAGCTTGTCAACAGATTGAACTGATATGGGAGAGTTTTGCAAAAGAAAGTGAGCGGCTGGATATCACTGTGGGAAAGGTGGATGTCACTCAAGAGCCAGGTATAGTATGTAGACAATTTTTTTTTAGTAAAAGCAATGAAGTATCAGTATCTGAATGTGCTTTATTTAGAGTACCTGGGTTAACAGTTCTGTCGCCTCCAATTTCTGTGTTTCAGAGTGTAGTACCACTACCACAGTGCGAGCTGGCTTTAATAAGCTTTTAGTGATTTGCATTATGATGCTGTTTGTCTTGTTTAATTGTATTAGTGCTTTTAAAGTGCAGCCTTGTTTTTTCCTGTTTTGATGCATGTATGCGAATACTTACAAAAATAATTTCCTACCAGTCCACAGAAGCATAAATATTATCTTACTTATTTCTGCTTTGGTGATTCTTTTCGAAGTTTTGAATATGTTTGTGTAAACTGTGTTCCTACACGCTGACCTCTTGGTGTTAGGCTTGCCTATATTGTGTATAAAAATTAATAACAGTTCAATAAAGGTGAGTTTGAACACAAGCAATTTTTACATAAATAAAATTTATAGCCTATTTCTGCTTCTTCACATGAAGAAAGCACTGCTTACTCTGGAGTTAAGACTGTAAGTGAGGATCCATTATAATCCCATCTTCTAATTGTCTCCCAATTAGAGGTTCTTTGCTTAGGTGTTATTCAAGTTTGGGGATTTCAGTCTTGATTATGACTTTTCACTGTGATCAACTTAGAAATGCACTCCCAAAATGAGACTTTGACAATAAAATATTTGGAATTTGAAGACATTAGTCATCCCAGTAAAGAATTAGAATGCTTATGTTGTGAACTGGAGGGACTGTGTGTTTGAAGTTTTCTTTGGATCTGAATTTGTCTGACTTTTGAGTGATGCAAAGTACTAAAGGTCTTAGGTGTGACTTTTAACTAGGAGTTTCTCAAATATTTGAATTTCTAGTAGTGCTCAGAGTCTTGTTCTCTGAAGGTGTTTGATTTCTGTGAGTTAAAGAATTGGCCAAAATGATGCATTCATGCCAGCATGTGCATAATATACCTGCGATATCCCATTCAGCAGAGAGTATGAAGGCTGTAGATACTCAAATTGGAAAACAAAAATTTATTACAGACTTGACCTTTTTGTGTTGATGTAGTTTTGGAGGTATGCAAGTTCCTTTGGAATCTCTCTGAAGTAACTGAGGTATTTTTACTATAGACTTGTGCTTCAGTCTTTCTTTCAGTTCTTGTGCTTAAGTGCCCTATCTCCTATTTTTCACTTGGCCAGAGAAAGTAGTTGGAAATATGTAAAATAAGGGAAAAAACACTAGGTGTCTGTAGATTTGCGTAAAATAGCACTTCAGAACTCTGTAGGGTAAAGTAACCATTCATAGTGCTTAATTACAGTTGCTACAGGAAGAAGCAATGCTTAATGGATTTACAACATGTTTCAGTCACTTGACACACCGATCTCAAAGTACTTAGTCCTTCCTTGTCACTTTTATGGAAACACTTGGTATTTTAAGAACAAAAAATGGAGATGCTTCTGCATTTCAGAATTCTCTGTATTTGTAGTGCCTTTAAGTTCTCAATCTCAGCATTTATCACCACTCCTCTTAAAACAAAATTTATTGGATTTTCTGTATCACAGAATCACCAAGGTTGGAAAAGACTTGCAAGATCATGCAGTCCAACCATCCACACATCACCAATAGTTCTCACTAAACCATGTCCCTCAACACAATCTAAACGTTCCTTGAACACCTCCAGGGTCAGTGACTCCACCACCTCTTTAGGCAGCCCATTCCAGCGCCTGACCACTCTTTCAGAAAAATAGTATTTCCTAACGTCCAGCCTAAATCTCCCCTGGCGCAGCTTGAAGCCATTCCCTCTAGTTCTATCACCAGCTCCCTACAACCTCCCTTCAGGTAGTTATAGAGAGCAATAAGGTCTCCCCTGAGCCTCCTCTTCTCCAGACTGAACAATCCCAGCTCCTTCAGCCACTCCTCATAAGGCCTGTGCTCCAGACCCCTCACCAGCTTTGTTGCCTTTTTTTGCGCCTGCTCTAGGGCCTCCATGTCTTTCTTGCAGCAAGGGGCCCAAAACTGGACACAGTACTTGAGGTGCGGCCTCACCAGAGCTGAGTACAGGGGGACAATCACTTCCCGGTTCCTGATGCAAGCCAGGATGCCATTGGTCTTCTTGGCCACCCGGGCACACTGCTGGCTCACATTCAGCTGAACATTGACCAATACCCCCAGGTCCATTTCCTCTACACAGTCTTCCAGCCACTCTGCCCCGAGCCTTTAGCATTGCCTGGGGTTGTTGTGGCCAAAGTGCTGGATCTGGCATTTGGTAATGTTGAACCTCATTCTACTGGCTACAGCCCAGTTGTCCAGTCTGTTCAGATCCCTCTGTTGGGCACCCAAATTGACACTTCCAGCTAACTTGGTGTCATCAGTAAACTTGCTGAGGGTGCACCCAATGCACTCATCCAGGTCGTCAATAAAGATATTGAAGAAGACAGGCCCCAGCACTGACCCCTGGGGAACGCCACTTGTGACAGCTGGATTTATCTTCACTATCACTCTCTGGGCCCAGCCTTTTGGCCAATTCCTAATCCAGCCAAGAGTGTACCTGTCCAAGCTACAGGCTGTTAGCTTCTGCAGGAGAATGCTATGGGAGACAGTGTCAAAGGCTTGGCTGAAGTCTAGATAGACTACATCAACAGCCTTTCCCTCATCCACCAGATGGGTCACTAGATCATAGAAGTTGGTCAAGCAGGACCTGCCCTTCTTGAACCCATGCTGGCTAGGCCTGATCCCCCAGTTGTCCTACATGTGCCATGTGATGTCCCTTAAGACAGTCTGCACTATAACCTTTCCTGGCACTGAAGTCAGGCTAGTAGTCCTGTAAAATCATTTTTTATAGTCCTCAGGCTTCTGTCAGTGACCTCATCACTGCTGGCTGGAGCTATCAATAAAGGATAATAATCAGAGGGGCGGATCAAACACTACCATTCCATACCTAATCTTCTTGGAATACTTGCTTGTTGAAAGCAGTGGTATTTTTCAGATTTTTCAGCTTCTGTATCTTCTGTATTTTTTTGGGAGTGGCGAATACTAAAGCTGTTGGGTTTTTTTTCCTGTTCTTATTTTTCTGCTGACAATGTAGTGGCATATATGTTGGTTTTAGATTTATAAACACATACTTAAGTTTACTTCCCGTTAAAACTATTAGCCAGTTAAAGTTTGTATTAGGCCTGTGCCAAAACAATTTGCAGTGTGTTCTTAACTTGCTGTAGCTGACTTTAAGGAGGTGTATTAAATATGCAAAAAAATCTTCCAAGTGAAGTTTTAGGATGCTTCAGTACGTTTTGGCGACAGATTTTGGTTTATTTTCTTCATTGCTCATTGTAAGACCATTGGTACTTGCTCAGGGATGGGTTACAGATAAGAGGGATTTAAGCTAGCTATTTCATTTTGTTTGCCTGGCTAGTCCTCATTAGAATATCAGAGTTTTTCAGTATTCCCTTAATTTTCTCTGCTCTTAAGCTTGTTAAGGTCTTCATGGCTTTCCACTTCGGTTTTTCTTATGCTGCTCTGCTTTCTGCTTGATTAATTCTCTTGTTACGCTTGCATTTTTGTTTACTTTATCTTTCCTTCTGCTGCCATGACTTGAAACTGTTTTATAAGATTTCCCACCATCCTTTGCCCCCCACAGCAATAAAAGATGAATGGTGAAAAATTGAGATGAAGATGCTTTCTATCTTGGAACGCTAAAGAAGCTTGTGCTTGGTTTGGTTTAAAAGTCTTCTTGTTGTTGTTGTTCTATAGAGGGGTTTACAGTTAAAGAATAATTAGTGCTGAAATGTAAAAATACCTGAATTAGTTCAGTCTGGTTCCCCATTGTTTCTATAGGCAGATACTCTTGCTGAAATACCTTTCCATTACCAACTTCCTGGTGTGGAAAGCTAATTAATTCCTTGGAAGATAGTTAGAACTTTGCAAAAAGAAAAGTTACATAAGTCTTGTCTCCCTTACAATGTAACTTTGTATGAATGGCTGAAGGTGTTCAGCCCTTACTAAAAAAAGTTAAACTGTTTACCTATGGATTGATAACCACTGAAGTCTGTTTTTTGTTTTTTTTTCCAAAATAGATGGCATCAGTATATCTCATTTCTTGCTCTGCAGTCTGTAAGTTGGTAGTCTTGAATATTACAATTTTTGAGGAAAGTTCTTCCTCCATCTTGCAGACTTTCCTAATTGTCAGGCAGTGGTAGTGTCAAGTAGCTCCCACACTTGTCAGTCTTGAAAGCAGGGAGAGAGTGGTATCTTCACTTAATAACTGTCCTTAGTTGAGCATTACAGACAGCTTGCTTACCAGGCTTTCTGTTTCACAGCTGACTCTTGCAATGAGTCAATAGACTGTGAGATCTCCATTGGTGTACCAAACACTGCAGTGATGCTGGGTGCACTTGCACCTATTACTCTGTAGCATTACTGAACACAAGGTCAGAAAACTTCAAACATTTTTTCCCTCACAGCTGATTTTTGGTGATTCAGAGAATCATTTTGATCATTTTGGAGAATTTGTCCTCTAAGTTGTGTTATGTTGTGACTGTTAACTTGTAAATTAGTGCAACACCTGCTTTCAGTGTGGGTATTGCTTCTAGCCAGCCTTACGGATCCCTGCTTCAACTTCTCTTTGTCTGTTTCCATCATCTCTTACATTTGCCCAAAATGCTGATGTGAGCCACCCTTCTAGATGATACAAAAATTTACTCTTATGGCCAAATATGTAATATTTTACAGAACAGAATATTGAGACATCCCAAGCTTTATTATCAGTATGATAACTGAGCGCTTATGTTTACCTATATAGGAATAATGTATGGGAAGGAAGGATAAGAACCTAGAAATATCCAAAATATTGTCTTGCTACAGTTGTGTTTGTGAGATAAATTGTCTTCTTACAGATACCAGAACAAGTAGCTTGTGCAGCATACGAGGATTGTTTCAAAGAAACAAACAAGCAAATGAGATTACTTTATTTAATGACTTAAGTACAGGCAGTCTTAAATGTGCAGCTCTAAATCATTTAAGATCAATTGGAGGATGAAATAAAATCCGGGCTAGAGTTAGAAAGGCACTGTTGTCATTGTTACAGTCATTACTGGCTCAACTTTCTAGTGGTCATCTGGATGAGGCTGTACACAGCCATATGCACTTGGGATCCTGAAATAGAAGTGCATTTTTTTTGTGGCTCTGTTTCCCTTTGATTGGAAGGTTGCATTGCTGGTCTGTCTGGTCAGAAACTGTGTGCAAATAGTCGTGAGTGAATTTCATGAAGAGAAATCTTGTAGCAAACATTCTTTGAGGTAAATATTTTACTTGATTTGGCAACAGTATTTTCTACCTGTTAGTTTGTAGCAGTTCTGAAGATTAAACTGTAAACTTATTTTTAGAAAGCAGTGGTAAAAGCTATGCAGTCAGCTTTCCAGTGTACAAATACAGATCTGTAGGTGTTTATAGGTAAGTCAGAATGGGGGGAAATTTTCAGTTTTACATAAGTGTTTGTTTTTTCTCTTCATTTGTAGGATTGAGTGGTCGTTTCTTTATCACAACACTTCCTACAATTTACCAGTAAGTATCATACTAAAAAAAAATTGTCTCTTTCAGTGCATGGTCTCTTTTCTGTCCCGTTTGTACAGTGGTGTGGAAGATGTAATGGCTGACTGGATTACATAATTTTTTTGAGTTTTTTAAAAAACATTTCTCATTATCTCAGTGCATTTACAGAACATCAAATATGTATTTTTAACTTACAGTGGAAGGTTTTTCCTGCAAACAATTTTGTACCTAAGTAAGTGATGCTTTTTCAGTCTGAAAACATTGTTTAATAACTTATAAGAACTGATGCCAGTTGTCATTTATTGACATCTAGAAACCTGATTATCTGTAAGCAGAAACACTTGACCTTAAAGAAGTGCATCACTTCAGTTTCTCATTTTAATAATTGACAACCCAGGCCTCATGTAAAATAGTACAGAAACTTTTTATTAATTGTGTAGTGCTGCTTCTGTTACTACTAAATTCTTAATCTGATGACTTGATGCCAGTACATTGCAGTTTTGTCCCTCTGGCCTCTTGTTTTACACGATAGTGCTGAAATATAGATGTCAGTGAAGGAGTATTGTCTTTCAGTTTCAGTTCAGTTGTTGCTTATAGCATTAATTACATTAACAGAGCCCTCATCGGGGGATTTCTTTAACTTATGTGGTTTTAGTAAATTCCATTGCAACCAATACTTTGGAAAGAAATCACAAAAGCTATTTTTTGTGTCTGTTCAGTAAAGGATCACATCTTATAAATAGAGAGCCCTTTAAGTCATGATACTGAGCCATACATGCACATATCTTTGTATGTATATATAGATAGATAGATAGATTTTTAAATTCTGCTAAGTGTGTAAAAATTGGTTTGTTTCTTCATATGTTTTGTATTCACTTTAGAGTGAATATGATAGCAATTTTAATAAACAGGAGAAACTAATTCTGGTGGAAAAACTGCAACTATCTATCAGGTAAGTTTTGAAACACTGAAAATATGTAAGCATTCAGCTTCCTGGACAAGTCAAATTGCTGTATGTAGATTTTGTTGGTTTTTTTTTTTTTTGGGAAGGGGGGGGAATGTAGGAATTGATTGTATTTTTACCATAGAGTTGAAGTGATGTTTGTTGATTTGTATTTATGATTTTCAGTGCAAATGATGGAGTATTTCGCAGATATCGTGGCTCACGGACATTGGAAGATCTTCAAAGTTATGTTCTAGAGAAAAAATGGGAAGCTGTGGAGCCTGTAGCAGGATGGAAGTCTCCATCTTCTATAGTGTAATACTTTGTTTTTATTAACAAATGTTATAGCTCAGTGTTCATTAAGAGTGCTATGTTGACAGCTGAAAGACAAAAAGCCTTTATTCCGTAGATGTGTAGGCTTTGCAGAAGCAGTCTGTATCAACAGCCTCCTTTTGCAGTTTCTCACCTTCAAAAGAAGTTTTTTTTGTGCGTTTGATTTTGTTCATGCCTGCTGAGGTTTGTTTGTATCATCTCTGAAAATGTATTAAAGGAGGAAAAAAGTACAGCCACTGAGCATTACGTAAGTGCCAGTTCTATCTCCTAAGTACTGAAATCAAATGCATGTTTATACAAATGATTACTTGATTTCCGGCTGCTTGTGGCAGAAGCATTTAGCTGTAAACTTTTCTTATTTATTTATTTGAAAAGAAGTCTTGTGTCTTTCTTTAGAGTAGGAGACAGCATAATGCTTACATAGTATTTGTTATTTCTGGGGTATTTGATTGCCTTTGAAATTGCATAAATGGCTTGCATGTTGTAAAAGATGAAACAAAGGTATGACTGCCCTGCATTTTGTTTTGACTAAAACTATTATGTATAAACTCAAATGAAAAATCCAGTGGGTATAGAGTATTTAGTAATAGGGTAAGGAGCTATAGAGCTGCATGCTGCTGTGAGGTGGGGAAAAGATGCTCAAATCTGAACTGTGGGAACTTTCTTGTGGTTAAATTTGAATGCTATCTCAAATCATTGTTTCAGTGCTTTGTACTGAGCCAGCTTAAATGAATAATAATATAGGGAAAACATAATCTGCAGTCATTTCCTTCTGACAGTTATCAGAAGTATAATTCTTCCATAGGAAGAATATTTTTTCTGGCTTCTGGGCAGTTTTTTGTATATCTTAACTCTTATTTGTCCTAGAACCTTTTCTTTCCTTTTCATTGTATTTTAGGATGCATGGTATGGCTGGACTATTTCAACTCTCTGGGTGCATCAGGGTAAGTAACTACATGGTAATATATTCCATACCACCTACCACCTACATGCTTAAAATAATATTCTGTTTAAAAGTCAAAATGTAGTTGAATGCTTCTTGTATCATTTTATGAGACTTGAATTTTCCTTATGCTTAAAATATAGTGGATGTGTAGTATCTTTGTGCTAGAAGTTTTGCAGTGCCAACAGGCTCTGTGCCGAAGAGTGGCAGTTTGGTGATAAAGGTTATCATAAATACTGAAAATATTCACTCTGCATCTGTATTTCAAACTACCAACAAGAAATCACATTTAAAAAAAAAAAAAACTTGGACAGTAGAAAAATGATCAAGAGTAAAACACTTAATTTACACTGGAGTATGTTTTGAACTTATAAAACTTATTTTGAGGTGCTTCATTTGGAAGGTGTTTTTCCCTGCAGTATGCAAATACTGAAGATTTTCGGATCTTTCCAATTTTGGCTAGGAAGCATGCTCTTTCTCACAGTCATCAAGTGTAGCTGAGATTGAAAGACTATCTGTAGCAAAAGTCTTGCTGTTGTAATATCTGGTACAAAAAATAAGTGTAGTAAGGAGTTTGCATAGAGTTTGCAACACTTCCAGTAAGCATTTATCTCAGGATCAAATAAAACTTTCAATTAGGTTTCCTGGGCAAGCTATCTTCTAATTCTTTCTTTCATTGAGTAACAATAACTTTTTATAGTCTTCTGTTTTTTCTCTTATGTGTAATGTTGTCCTTGTCTAGTTTCCTTCCTGAAAGATTAAATATTCTGAGAAGGAACTTTCTCCGCTTTATACCTGGATGGATATTTCAACTATCAATTTCCTTACCCATTTTGCTGTGCTGTCCGTGCATATGCTTTAGTAAATGTTGGATGCTCTTATGTTAAGGAGAGGAAAGAGATGAATCTTGGACTTTGGAATATTGAAGTTTCTGTAAATGTTTGTGGTTTGTTTTCTAATGGATGTACTCTTAGAAGAGATGTGATGTTATAATTGACTTCCTATTGGACTGTTCCATTTGATGTGGTGCTTAGTCCAAGCAGATGAATGTGTAAGTTTGAATAACAGTTCAATTTCAAAGAAATCTTGATGTTGCAGTCTGATTTTTCTCTTAAAAAAAACAAACAAACAAAAAAAAAAGAAACTACTTGCTTGGTATCTGTAGAATATTTTTAAGAGCAAGAGAGTTTGAGTAAGAGAGAAATTGTTCTATTTTATTTAGTGAATCAATTCCCAAGATTAAGTGTGTTTTGATCTTGTGCAACAGTGTCCACCACTCTGCTTCCCAGGTGTAATTACGAGGATAAAGCTTTGTACGGAGTCTTTTGCTTGGCGATGGGCTTTGGAAGCGGATATAAGATAATACCTGCTTTGAATCTGACATCGTTGCTTTTTTGGTTTTGAAATGTTTAAATTCTAAAGTACCTTTGTTTGAAATGCCTTCATTGGTGTTCTCTGACAGTCACGTGTACAGGTTTATGCCATAGGTACACCTGACTTGTTAATCTCACTGAAATACTTCCAGAAAATAAAGAATGCAAGAATGCTATAATACATTACTCTATGCTCTGAGTATATCTCCTACATCTACCTGTAGTAAGATTCTGTGTGCCTATCTGCAGTAAAATTAACATGAACAATTCAGTAAAACAAAAGGAAGATTTAATCGTATGCTTAACTGTCAGACTTTTTTTTTTTTTAAAGAATGGCTGGGGTTTGTGTGAAATGAGTTTGGTGTGTAGGGTCTTAATTAGATGCTGATTTATGTAATGGTTTCAGCAGAATAAATTGCATGTGGAGTTTAGTATGAAGTTAATAAGAACTTTCTCATTTCCAGCAAATTCATAGCTACCTCACCGACACTCTTGGAATTCATGTTTGGATTTCTTATGCCATCTTCATCTTGGCTACCTTACTGATTGGCCTGATCCTCGGTTTGGTAAGGAAGTGTATTGCTTTCTTAGTTATGTAGAAATCTTTGTAGTAATTTGGAGGGGGGGATGGGGAAGGGCAACGGGACCAAAAACTTTGCTAATAAGTTATAATGCAGTACCTGGTCCTAAATTGCTTTTTAATTGGTATACAATTAAAATCCTGAAGTACTGCAGATTACCCTGCTAGGTTTGTTGCCTACTTCTGGTAAAGAGTAGGGCTGTTCACTCCAATAATTTGGCCTATTTATGAAACTTATGTTTCAGTTTATATTTGCTTAGTCCATACACCGAACCAGTGACTTACATTGTTCTTTCATGTTAAAGACTTCAGGATTGCACGTGTGTGGTCAGAATGATGATGTAAAGACTCCAACTCCTTAAAACGGGCTTTTATAGAGGGATTTTTTTATTAGCTGAAATGGGAGTCTATTTGTGGGAGTTAGCAAATGCAAGTATGCTGCTGTACTGTTACTCAAAATGAAAGGACAAAAATCTGAAAGGCTTCCAAGATTTAGGGGGTTTTAATTGACTTACTCTATTTTCAGAACACTGATGTAGTTACAGATCACTCTTTAGTAAACAGACTTCCTTCTCTTCTGTGATCTTTTGCTTTAAGTCTTCATCAGTAATTGAAAAATCTAACATCTAATTAGCCAGAATGAATGCATTGATATATGAATCTTCGAAACATCGGGAAGGTTATTTAAAGAAAGCTTTATGTTAAAGTTCAGTGTATCCTGAACCCTGGGGGTTCCGTTAGTGGGGAAAACACTCAAAGTTGCTTTATCTGTGTATTTGAAATGACTTTCTTTTGTAATACTTGAACACTGTAACTCTCTAATCTCAACATTAAATGAGGAAGTGAACTGGAAAAGGAGATATAGATAGGAACAAGAATTTTGTACAAATCGGTGGTTTGGTGCAGACCCTGTGACTGCCGAGCCTGTTAGACCGATGATGAGCCTAACGGTTCTTAACTAGCTGCTAAATTGCTAATCCTTGCAGTTGTTTTGGACACTTGGATCTCTGCCCTTCAGCCCAAATTCTGAAGAAATAAAGAGAAGTGGTGTAATGAACATTTATCAGTTGTTATTTCAATGCAGCATGCATATGTTTAGGCAAAAACACTTTTTTAATATATGCAGTACTTTTATGTTTTTTAATTCCACAATTATAACAGCTCCATCTTTCTAGATTTTAGTTTATCAAAAAATGAACACAAATCAAGGTAACTAGAAGCAAATGGCTCTGTTGAATTTTTTTAAATTGTTTTTCCATTTACCTAAAACCCAAACGAAAACACAAGAAAAGCCTCCACTCCACGAAAGAAAACCCCATGCCATAAAATAAAGCAAACAAACTCCCAAACTGAAAAAAGTTGAAAAAAGTGCAAACTTAATATTGCAGCCTCTTCTAACATCTTTTGTGATTGAAATGTAGTTCTAACTCTGTATCATTTGTTTCTTTTATTTCCTTTGTGCTATTCTTAATGTATGGCAGTGAGAGAAAGATCTTCCTTAGTGTTTTGATTGTTTATTTTCTACTGTAGGCTGATCTAACAAAGAGACAAAACCATAAGACAGAATTGAATGTGAAAGATTAAAGTACTTTTTGTATACTGGGGAGGCGGTGGGTCAGAACTGCATAACGTGCCAAAGAATAAAAAATCTTGGCCAAGAAGATTTCTGGAGTACGAAATACAATAAAAATCCTTAACTGGTTCTGAGCATCTCTTCTGAAGGTGCTAAGCATTTCAATTCTGAATAAATTCAGGGAGGTAGGAGGCAGAAACTATGAAATGGAAAACAGAATGTTTGTTCGTATACAGAGCTTATATTTTTTTCCCCCAGACTTTTAATTAATCTCCTCCAGGCAGCTCTTGCCTTGAGCCAATTAATACAACTTTCTAGATTTTATTTTATCTAAAAGGATGAGCAGTAATAGGCATTTCCTTGCCATAGCTATGAAGATGACTAGAAAAAATATTTAGACATATTATTTGTCTAGGACTTTCTGACCACTGCATTTCTTTGTTTCCTGTGACACTTTCAGAAGGGAAATCTGTTGATATTCTCGCAGTTTGAGCTTGAAGTTGAATGAGACAGTAATGTTACTTTCCATTTTAAAAGCCAAAGCTACAAAGCAGTTAACATTTACTGTATAAACTAAGTGTTAAAGCACTCAGTGTAGATCCAGGTAGGGATGGATATGCACTGTGTATTCTTTCTGAAGTTGTTCTTGAGATCCTGTCAAATTCAATTGACATTTTTTAGCGTAACGAAAAAATCCAGACTTGATGAGTGAATTATCATTTCTGTGATGGTGGTAAGACCCAGCATTTACCACTTGTTCTCTGAGCAACATCTTGCTGTTCAGCAGGTTTTTGCACATTTCGAGTTATGGAAAAGCACTCATCTGAGTACTGAAATTACATGCTGTTAAGAATATTTTGCTATTCAAATTATAGCACACTAATCTTTTTTGTCAAGTTCCCTTTTTAAGAGCTCCTGCCAGTGAAGATAGTCTGAAGTGAAAGTATATTGAAAGTCTCTGAAGTAGAAAAAAGAAATGAATCCAGAATCATTGCAGTAATAAGGTGATGGAAGATGAGTAATGATGTCTCCCAGGTCACACTATTTCTTCTCATCACCAGCTTGCCAATTATATTTTTACATCAGGTACAAATAAAGTAGTGTAGGGGCTGCTGGAATGAAATGCATGTTTGTTAACCAAGGCTTTTTTTCTCCACCCAGATGCTGGTTTTGATTTCAGACTGCCTTTGTCCATCAAAGTCACATTACAGAGATGAAACATCTGGTAAGAACTCCTAAGTGGGTGGGATGCTGTAGTTTTAAATGTGTGCTTGTAGGAAGGAGGGCAGTGTGTTGTCAAGCACTTAAATTTCAGCCAGTAAATCCAAGTATGCACTTTAATCACCCAGTGACAAGAATTTGTATGTCTGAAATATTAATAAAAGCATTTACTTAGAGGAAAGTTAAGCAAACAACAACAAAAAAAATCCAACACCACTAAAAACCAGCAGTATTTATTTCTTACACAACTGGCAAGTGGCTAAAGGCTTTCAAAATTATTATTTCTTATATAAATATACTGGGTTTTGTTTATTTTGTGTAGCTACATCTTTGCTAGATCTATTGCTTAAATGTAAAAGTGATTTGCTTTGGTAGGATACTTCCATGTCCTATTTTATACTCTCTGTTGCCTTAGGAACATTCTGGATCTATACAATTCTCTATCTGTATTGTGGAAAGAAGGGCAAAGAAGGAAACAGAATCAAGTAATCCCAGATACTGCAGGAAATAAACTGACAGTTGAGGAACTTGCACTGCAATTTATCATTAGCCATAGATCAGGCTTTGTTGCAGTATTGAGTCTTTGAGAGTCCCTGTATGAGCTATATGAGGAAATGTACCCTCCTGGTGATTAGATGTCTTTTTTTAACCCTTCCCTCACCACGTATAAAACTAGATTTCCCTCTGAAATGTTAATGTTACTCACTAATCTTAAAGGAAATAATATGTGGTGTGGGGTGTTGCATCTACTTCAAATGAAAAGAAAGGGTACATCTTGCTGATGCCCATTGAGAGGGCTTCAGACCAGCATTCTGCTCCATAGGGAGTGGGAGGCAAAAGCTTGCACACAAAACAGAGCCTGTTGTCAAGATATGTCTGTGAAGTTCTAGAACTCCTTGTGGCACAGTTGTGCTATCAAATGATGTCAAAACTGAACTGTAATTAAAAGTTTATTTTGTAACTATGTACATCTGTGTTTGCTGTGTAAGATGATGCATCTGTGACACTTGCCAGTAAGACTTGAGACAAATTTAGAATCCTTAAATATGCAAAATTACTCTTTTCAGAATCACTGTATTGATAGAAAAAGTGTACTGCTGCAGTCTGCTATCCAGTTGGCTTACTGACCCAGCAGCAGTGTTACCTGACAGAGCTGACCAGTATCACTTTCTCACTGATCTGTTTAGTAATGATATCTCTTCAAGGAGCCAAGCAACCTGTCCTGTCTTTATTTTGTAACTTGGTGGAACCATTTGAAAGCTCTCTGCCTGATATGCAAGTAAAACAAATGATAATGGAAGAGAGAGACTACAGAAGATTTATTTGAAAGAATTGAAAAATAAGGGAAAAATTAGTACTATGCAAAAGTTTTCAGCGAAGTTCATGAATGTTTTGGCGTTGTAGTATATTGTAATGTACCTGATGTATTTTACATATGTAATGGTGTACCTTTAAAAGACATTGTTCTGAATATCAGTCTAACTTTGTATGGAACTCTTTTGTTTAGAAGTAATTACAAAGGAGAATGTGGAGAATGCAGAGAATGCAGTGTTAGAAGAACCAGAGGAGGCCACAGAGCTTTCTGCAGATGATGTGGAAGAGGCTGCGGAGGTAAAAGACCTCTCAGAAGAAGATGCACCAAATTCAAGTGTTGATGACTCTGAAGAGGACTTGGCACTTGGAAAAGAATCAGGTGAAGAAGAAGAAATGGAAGACTTGAATGAGCAGCCTTTAGCTGATTCAGAGACTGAAAGCTCAGTAAGACAGCGTCGAAGTCAGGTGGCTGATCATGGACTGTAGTTTCTGGGGCGTATTTTATACACTTGGACCAAAGAAGTATCAGACTCTGGGTCTGAAGCTGAAGCTTACACTTGATTTATCACTTGTGTTTACGGAAAACCTCTGCTCTTTCAGCAGGCTTTTCTTTTTCTTTTAAACTAGTAATTATTCACTGAGTTTGTTTTATAAGCATAAATGCTGTGTATTATATAACTTTAGCCATGACAATCAAAGTGAACGTTATGACGTTTTTGAAGACTTTTAAGGGAAGAGGGGGTGTGATGAGTCTCAGCACTGACCTAAATAAGGCAAAGACTTTGAATTCTTAAGTAGTGTGGCAGGCTTGTGACTTTTCTGTCTGAATGTTAATTTTTTCCAAAAGCCACACAAGCACCAGATCAGCGATAGAGCAGTGGAAGAAGGTACCTTACTAGTTTTCTGTTTAAAGACATTGTATGCGGATTTATTTTTATTGCTTTCAACTGAAGCACCTTTCTATCTTTCTTAATGTTTGTGTTGGAATTATATCATGCAGTGTGCTTTGCTTTGTGCCCTGGTTTTTGTAGCCTCAATTTTTTCAGGCTGTGGTAATTCGTAGGCTTGCTGCATAGCTTAGGCTTGTCAGCTGTTTTGGTTTATTTTGACCCAAGAAGTTTGAGTAATCAAAAGCTATAGGCCCATGAAGAATGACAGCTCTATGCTAAAAATATCTTTATAATTAAGAGTTTTAAAAGAAATTATTTTGGTCAGGGAAAATTTCTGCCAAAGCATGACTCTTTTCTTTGGAGATTGTAGCAAGAAGTACTCATTTGGCAGCCATTGAGTTGTGTATTTCCTCCCAATCAAGGCATGACACCTGCAGTGCAGTTCTGCTGTTTCCAACCCAGAATGGTTTTGGCAGAGCTCAAACTTCTGTAGTAGTATTATTTGAGGGGTTCACCTTTGTCACTTTTCTACTTTGTTACTAGATTCAGCACATTAGGAAAAGGGAGGGGCAGTGGTGAAAAGCTAGGAGAAGCTTTTGGTTTTGCTACTTTCATCAAGGTAAATATGTATCAAACTATATAAAGTAAAAATGCCTTGCTATGTAGACAGCATTAGGTATGATTAGGTACGCGAACTAAGTCATTAATGATTGTGTATTTTCCTCCTTTGGTTGACTTGGTTAATGGCTTTTTAGGTAAAGAATATTTACAGTGAGATCGTGAATGTTCCTAATTTGATGTATGATCACATGTGCATAAGATGTATCTTAAGATTAACTTTTTTATATTGCATAAAACTTGCTAATGTGCATGAATTTCATCTAGAATAAAGAGTAATCAGATGAAATTATTTCTCTTACTAGAAGAGAAATTGCAAGTGCAAAATACTAGTTTCCTTTGAGACTGATATTATTAGGGCCAATTTGTCTTGAAATTTGATTTTTAATGCTCATAGAGAGCATATTTACTCAATTTTACAAAGAAAGCTGAGCTTAACAATAGCATATTGTGTCTTGGAACCATATAGTAGAAAGTTTAAATTTTTCTTTATACAGCTGTAACAGATAAAATTACTCTGCATCTATTGAATATGATTTTTCATGGAGTGAGCTGAGTTGAGGTTAAATCTCATTCTACAATAGTAGAGATAGGTAAATGAGCTTTCACATATGTGGAGGCAATACAGTTGCACTATAATGAGAACAGTTGGTTTGTGTTATCTGTGTATTCTTCCGTGTAATTAAGAAGCTGTAGAATCTCACAGGCAGCAGGACTCCATATCAGTTGAGATGTATTTAAATTTTTTTATAAAAAGCTCAAACTAAACATGTATTTGCAAAACTTAAAGCTTTTGTGGCTACTGTAGAGGGAAAAACTGTGCATATAAGAGCACAGAGCACAGTTCTGTAGTTTCTAGGACATATTTGCCTTTTTCATTATCTAAAATGAAGATCAGACTTGAGCATATTTCATGAGACGAGTAGGGACCGGTGTTACATGGACTTGTGTAAGATAAGAATTGATATATCCTTTCAATCATGGGCCCAAAACTACTGCACACTGGGGAATATGGAAGAACTGTATCCAGCATAGGTTGAGGACAGCGATGCCTTTGTGCGCCGAAGAGAATATTTTGAGCTGTGTAGAGCATTGTGATATTTGTAATGTGTCAGAAAGAATGCATAAGTATTACACTTTATTCAGTTTCCTTCTGCTTTTTTAATAATGTAGAGCCAGTCATCTGAATTCCTCTCTGGCTGCTTAAAGATGCTCCAAACTTTGAAAAATTCAGAACATCCTTATTCCTCCCAGTGGCTTTGTCTTACACACTGAGAATGTGAAGTATTAAAAAAGTATTAAATGATGTTACGTTTTGTGTGTGCTCAGGATTAGGTATTTGGGCTTTTTGAATGTTTATGTGACTAAGATGTTCTCACAAGTGTTGTATTCAATATGGTGTCCTTGAATTTCTTTTTAAGAACAAACAAAAACCCCACAGAAGCAGCACTTTGTCCTAGCAGATGCAGGGTTTCTGAGGTGATGTGAGAAAGATCAGAAGCTGTTGTTTGATGATTGTCTGGAGTCTTTATTTACAGTTCTTGTTTTTGCATATCTCTGTTATGTTTGGATTATTTAAAATGAAGTTCATATTTTCCATCATATTGAACCAAACTTCAGGATCACTGATGTGAAGGGATTAAGTAAGCAGGCAGCAAGTGACAGCAGTACATCTCTTCACAGATCTTTCTTGTGAATCTGGAAGTCACTAGTAGGAAGATTCTAAGCTTCTCAAAGAACATAACCTGCATGCCATCGGTCCTGTGTTTTTTATGAATAAAATAGGAAGTATGCTAACTTGGGTTTGACTGTATTTGACATGTATAGCAGTGTCTTGTTCCGGAGACAAGTTGTGTCTAAATGGTTGCCCAGCACTTGCTTTTCTAAAGTCTAATCTCCAACTTGGTTTAACGTTTGCAGGAAAATATTGTAGCATGGTATTGCAGATGCTGAGTTGTAATATTGTGTCTGGCAAACAACTAAGAAGTAGCATGCTCTGTAAAGGTCTTTCTGTTAAGCCTAAATGTAGCCACTCTGTATGCAGTAAGAGTGCAGTGTCAATGTATGTTCCAGTGTCAGCTGCTTTCCACTAAGACACATTTTAATTGAACCATACAAATATAGTACTTATTAGATATTACAGTAGTATTTGATCATTATGTTTCCTTTAAAGTCAGTGTGAACATCTTGTGCAAGATGAGTGTTCCGTCATCTGTCCTCTGCTAAGATTGATGTGTGTTTTTTTTTTAATGGAAGTTCCTGCAATCTCAACATAGACAAGATGTCCTTGGAGAAGCTGCTGTGAACACCGCTGATAGTGTTTTGATTAAAGATAAAGCTCTTAAGTGTGAGGCTTGTAAACTAGAGCAATATGTAAAACATGACTGAAGAGTTTTGAAAACCATTGTAAATTTCAAATGTGGTATGTGTGCCACTTTAAAAAACCAGTCCTTGGTGGATCTGAATATGAATGCTTGACGTCAAGTCACTCAAAAAATCCAATGGGTTACTTTTTAAAGAGGCTAGAAATGCAGCCTTTAACAACTGCTGTCCTTGAGATTTGTGTGAAATGTGTGTACAAGTCTTGGAATACTGTATATGCTGCACTCATTCTGGGCAACACTTGGTCTGTGGGCTTTCTGCATTGAAATGTTATACAGAATCTTCTTTTTTATATTAAAGTTTTGCAGATTTATTCTATGGATATTTTTACTGAAATTTCATATAAATTTGTATTTATGATCCTATTGCAGTTTTCAGTTTTTTTCACTGTATAGATGGCTTACTTGATTAACAACTTATTTTTAGTCAGCAGATCAGTATAAATAAAAGCTTGTAGCTTGCTTATGAAGACTCCTCAAACTCTTGAGAAAACAGACCTTTCCATTAACAGTTTGGAAAAGCACCTGGATTGATCTTTTCATGGTAGTAACTGTGAGCTGAGCAGTGAACTTGTGTAAGTACGAAACTTAGCTGGGTAAATGGAGGTTGCTGAGCAAAACAGTGTAGCTTTGAACAATTGGTGAATGTCACCTCTGTGTCATGTTTGTTTTGCCCCTCTTGAGTAATCCAGTCTTCTAACCATCAAACAATGTGCTGGTTCTCTCTAGAACGTGGAGGATGTCTCCCTGCTAACGTGGTGAAGAAGCTCACAAGTCTAAATGTTTCCTCTTTTCAGAGCTCACAGGGAGCAGCCATTGCTGAAGAAATAGGCCTCGAGGCCAGGCATGCTGGAGGCAGAAGTGGTGTTTTGTGAGCCAGGAACCATCGTGTCAGTATATGTGGACAGTGTGAACAACTACAGGATCCAGTATGAACTCAAGTTCATTCTCAAAACATTGAGTTTCCTGAACTGCCTTTCAGCATGGAGTGGAATTGCTGCACAGGTTGGGTGATGTGCCACTGTATCAATTTCTTGATGTAAATTCTAAGGGGAATGGTATCAAACAAAGGCTTAGTTTGTTTTATTTTCTACTACTTAATTAGCTGCTCCTGTCTCATTATGTGAGAGTTTGAAATTGTCCCTTTGAAAATGAACAGGTGGAATATTACAAGCGAAAATCCAGTCAAGTTCTGAAAATTACTTTTAAGCTCTGTTTTTATAGAGCAAGCGTGGCACTAGTTTCCCTATAGTGCAACTGCAGCAGTCTTGACTTCTTGACTTGGTCTGTCAGCCCCCCGTTTTTCGCAGCCAGTGAACAACACCAAATTGGGTTGGCTCCCAAGTCTGGAAGTAGTGATGTTTAGTATGTTTTTCTTTTGAGGGGCTGAGCATACATTCAAAATGAAAAGCTGGATGGCTGCAGCCAACATCTTTGCAGGTGGTCTCTTGGCTGCAGTATGCTAGTGGGAAGGAAATGGGTTTCCTCTCTTTCCCAAGCATTAAATAGGCCTCCACACAAAGCATACACATTCATTGAACACCAGCGTATTTGGCTGCAAAAAGCTGCCCAGGAGGAAGCACTGTGTGTCCTTTGTGATCCTTTGCAACTCTTCTCAGGAATAAGCTGCCTTTTATCCAATTTGGAAATGTAAGATGTAAATTAAGAAATCTGGTCCCTGATTCATTCCTGGGTAGTAAATGACTTTGTTTGGTGTACTGAGTTTCTGGCTGAAAGGAGGTCTTTATAGCCTGTACCAAGTCAAGTCTCTGATTTACTGGTGTCTAATATACTGGTGTCTAATTCAAGGTTTAGATTTGACCCTCCACAAAGCACACATAGAGCACAGGCTCTGTGCCAGGGGATGTAGCCATAAATTGGAGCATAGGAAGTTCCGCAGAAATGTAAGATTCTTCGCAGTGAGGGTGATGGAACACTGGAACAGGTTTCCCAGGGCTGTTGTGGAGTCTCCTTCTCTGGAGATATTGAAGACCTATCTGGATGCCTACCTGTGCAGCCTGCTGTAGGGAACCTGTTTTGACATCGAGGCTGGACTAGATGATCTCTAGAGGTCCTTTCCAACCCCTACAGTTCTGTGATTCTATGATTCTTTGGTCAAGCCTGTGAGTTTTATACAATATTGTTGAAAGCCACCCCTCCTAACCCTGCAAGTGTTTCTCAGGACTATGGATTTTGCTGTACAGCTAGCTGTGAGGCAGAAACTGGTGCTGCACACCTTTTTGTAGACCTCCCCTGCATTATTTTCTTAGTACCCGTTTTTATAGTTCCTCCAAGGAGAACTATTTGTGTGATTGATGCTCCAGGTTTCTTCCAACCCAGCAGTCCTGGACTTCCCAAGTGACTTTACAAAACAGATGTTCCTTGGGGCTCCCCAGGGCAACTTACCTGCTGCTATGCCAAATGGCAAGAAACTGTCCTCATTCATGCACTACATCCGCTTTGGTTCAGTCTCATGCTGAAGTCACAAATTGCTGGAGAAAAATATTTTCTGATGAATCTTGTGAGTGACTTGGGAGGGGCCAAGATCAGTTCCTTCAGCTCTGATTGAGGAGATACTGAAAACCATTCATGTGGCATTGTCAAAGTCCATCAAGACACGCTTTCTGCTTTTGTTTGGAGAGAATTCAGGAATGTTCACAAGGAATTTGAAAGTCAAAACAGTCTTTTAATTATGTAAAAAGTTATTTGATAAAACAGCTTTCCACAGCGCTCTTGAGAAACACTTCAGTAGTCACTGGTACCTTGAAGTAGCTTAATTATATACTGCAGTTAACTTTTCCAGTTAAACTTTTGTGAAGAGAGAAAATCCCAGTTGACTCATTCTTTCTCGGTGGACTTTTTGCTGCTTCACAAGAGATAACCAATGTTGTTGCTCCAATCCTGCAATAGGAATACAGCGATTCTGGCTGAAATTTCATGTTGTTCTGTTCTGTTCTGTTCTTCTCTCTGTTTGTCAAATAACACACGTAAACACCAATGTGTAGCGATATTTCGTAAAACACTTGTTTGGCTTCTAAGTCATATCTCTGTCTTTTGCAGCCCTCTGTGGGTTTTCCTTCCTGGATTTGTGATAGATAGGTGGATATATTTAACTTGAGTCAAAAGAGGTTCTGGCAGAGTGCGTGTTGTTATTTTCCCTCAGTAATTCTCTGGTGACCTGCTAAGGGAACAAATGAAAAAACAGTAGATATGGGAGAGGCTGTTGCTGCCACACTGGTGGTGATTAGGTCACAGGGGAAATAGAATCACATCTGAACATTTCACTTGCACATTGGCTTTTACCGGGGACGTTTGCCTTGTTTACCTGGGCAAACTCCTTGCTGTTACGAAAGATGCTCTTTTGTTCTGAGGTTCAAGTTAAGACAGCTGATGTCTCATTAAACAGACAGAGAACATTCCTCGTTTTAAGAGGCAGTAAACCAAAGAGATGCATTAAATAAGGAGTCAATTGCTTGGAAGGAAGCTTTGTCAAAGCTGGTCTGTACACTGCTGTCAGATATGCTGGAGAGACATTTGCAGTGCTGTCTTAACGGATTACGTTCATGCTGTGAGAAAGAGGCTATGGTTGCAACTTAGCAGCAGATTAAGCTTTTAGCATAATTTTTCCTTTGTAGTGATATTAGCAATTTTCTCCACACTTCAACTTGTGAACTGGCCAGCAGGTCTGTTGGAGCAGAAGCATCCCTGGTTCCTGGTGTGCCAAGGGCTGTAGCTTCCCAGAGTGTGCTGTCTCTAGGCTGCAGCAAGAAGTCGTAGTTTTAGCATGCTTGGCATTTTCTTGGGATCCGTAAGGCATGATATGTGAACAACTTAGTGATAAGGAAGGGAAGAGGAACTTTAACATGATTGATAAATAATGACCGGTAAGGTCTGGGCAGGTTTTTGTCATGTGAATATGGCATATCAACAAAGATGGAAAGATTGATGTAGGAAGTGTTATGAAGAGCTTAACTCGTCTTGAAGTAGATATAGATGTAAAAGTGTAGGGGGAAGATCAACAGCAAAATGGTGTAGATCTTATCAGTAGTTTTTGTGCAAACTTCCAACATGATTATGTACAACTGGATTCAGCAATATATTAATACATTTAACTATTGTGCAGTGCTTACAGTTTTATGCTCTAGAACAAATACCTGGTTTTCAACATAGATAATGCAGACTGTAAGAAAAGCAGATATATCCCCAGGTTTTGTGCTGGGAGCACAGAGAAATGTCAGTGTAAGCCAGTTTGCATTTAAATTGTATTCATTGTGGATGTGTGATGAATGCCTGATGATGTAACTATGCATATTGATAATCATTCACAGTATTTCTTCCGTGAATATTCTAACTGGCTAGGAAAAAGAACCCCCTACACACCCTGAATGTTTTAAGCCAAGAGGCCCTGATATCTGCAAAAGCAGTTTGAAATAGCTGCAAATTTCTTAGGCGACAACCTCATTCTCTTTAGACAATTCTTGAACCTGACCTTCCAGTTGGCACCATCGTTCCTGCTTCAGTCCCTGAAATATTCCTCCAAAGATGTTTGGCAGTCTCATCTGAATCTTAAGCACTTCTCTCAGTCTTTGCAGAATACTGTGTTCCTGGCTGTTATTTATAAATCAGCAGCAGAGATGAAGGTTGTGGTTGAGCAGAGGTTTGTCTATGTTTAACTAGATGCCTTCAGCAAGACTGAAGAATTTAGCTAGCATCAAGTCACTTAAAGCCACGTGTTGTTGGAGGAAGTAAGCTGCTGATGTACTTCTGTTGCACTGCATTTCTTTGTTGTGTTGCACTGTAAGTAACTAATAATGAACAAATAGCAGCCCCCTGGTTTGTTTGTGCTGTGCGTTGTGACAGAGGTGTGCTGGGCTGTGGTGACTGCAGTGCACGCTGCCAAGTTCTGTCACATCTTACACTGTGCATTGGAGAATATTTCCATTTAAGGAATTGATTTGTCTGTTCCTTCCAAAACCTACCTTTTATTAAAAAAACAAAACAAAAAACTGAAGAATGCAAAGCTGCATTATATATATATACAAATGACCAACTGTAAATTTTCCCTGTCAAACAACTACTGTATACCTGTTGCAATTGAAGTATGTATGTGTATTTGTTAACTCAAGAAATCTTTATTTGTTACATTTTGGTTGAGTTTAAGCTCATGTGGTAAGATAACTTTATTTTGAGCCGGTAAGTGTATCTGGCTTCATAATGTGCTAAGAATAACTACAGCTTTCTGGGCTAGGGAGGTGGAATTACATTAAAAAGCAGCTGTCATTTGCATGAGGATGCAGTAGCTGTCCTAGCTGGTTGGCAGCTGTGTCCCTGCAACTTGATTCCAAATCCACAGTTTTAATGGAAATAACTGGGAACAGTCTTAACGTTTATGAATGCCAGTCCAGACCTGGACCTGCATTCCTAAGTCAACTAAAGCAGAATTTTGCTTTTTGGATTTATATGATACCTTTTTTCTGTCACCAGGGTATTTTTTGATGGAACATTGGGATGGTACGTCCCTTACTTGAGGTCTAAGTCATACATATCACACCTGTGTATTTCTTTGATTATTCATTTCTGTTCTTTTTTGCCATATTTTATTCCAGTATATTCTGCATTTGCTTTGACCACGTGAAATGAAACATGGTGTTGAAGTCCAGAGTGACACAAGAAGTTGGTGTATATTTTTGTGCATAGATAAGAAAGTCAAATCTCGATGAGATCTCATATTAATGATTTACAGACAGAAATACAGAGTTTAAAAGAGAGGTAAGTAGGAATAAACTTATCCTGTGAGACCTGCAGACATGTCTGGAAAGCCAGTTTGTGTTGCTGATTTTGAACATTATGCTAAAACATTTCTCCCCAAATCAGTGTATGATTATTACCGATCTGGAGCAGATGACCAAGAAACATTAGCAGATAATGTAGCAGCATTTTCAAGGTAGGAGAGTGATTTAAGGTTGTAGAGTGTGTGTGTGTATCCGTTTGCATTATTAGTAGATGTGGTACAATGTTAGATTTTGTGCTAACAAAACTTATTTTTTCTGCAACTTCTGTAAATTTTAGGAAGAAAACTCAATGAAATCCTCAGAACATCAGTTCTTCCCTTTCTTTCTCCCAGCTAAAATTTTCCATCAGAGCAGTCCCTAAGATTCATTAGCATGCTTTTAGCTTTACTTGCATCTTGTTTGTTTTGTTTAGGGAAGCTAAATTTCCGGGTTGGACAAATATTTAATAAAAGTTGATGAAATTGTTTCTATATAGCTGTTGTACAGACAAAGATTTCTTGTTTTATTGTGCCTTTTAGATCCCAAGTCACTTTTGACTGAACTGTTCCTCCTAAATTGAATTACTTTAGTGGCCTCCCCCACCAAGTGTCTGCACAATATTGCTGTACAGTATTGCTGTGTCTGTACAGTATTGCTGAACTGTAGCTGTGCATCCTAGCAGTGTGGATCCCATCAGGAGCAAGGTGTGAAGGCCGTGCTCAGTACTGTATGCCTGAGCTGCATTCAAATTTCAGCCATGGTCAGCACTTAACCATGAAATATTGTAAGTGATGGGAACCAGTCAAAACTGGTTTTGACTTGCAGACTGTAGCTCTGTTCCCTGTCCTGTTGTCAAAACTCAAACTCACTCACTCCTTTGTTCTGTAAGTACTGGGTTCAACCTGGAGTAAAGCAGCGTTTGGTGGAGGAGTGTCAGAACTGATACCAAATTGCTTTGTATTGCTCTGGTTCCCCATTCCCTGAATTTCTGCTGCTGCTCAACTGCCAGAGCATCGGTTCAAGCGTGGCTGGAAGAAAGGAAGGCAGCCAGAGCTGTTGAAGGTCGCCCAATAAAGCAGTAGGAGAGCTCAGATCAGAGTCCAAAACCCAGTCCCTGGCATAAGATACACTGTCCCCCGGTTTCTGACACCTACAGCACTAGCACAGAACTTTCTTATAAGAAAGAGCATCATAATTGAAGTTGTCTGCCAGGTGGTCCTTCCTCTTTGCAAAGGTGAACCCTCCCACCTATTCTAATGGGATGTAGAACTTCAGAATCATTTGAGCACAGGTTTCCAAGGCCTGGATCTTGATTCTTAAGTGGTCCCCACTTGTAGCTGCTGAGGCACCTCTTGTAGAGTTATCAGCCCTTAGGTCTAAAATTATTGAGCGCAACATCCGTGCGTCTGATGGCTTCCTGGCAGCATATTTAGAAAGGCAAACCTTGTATATGGATTTGTGTGTATGGATTATTCTGTGTTTTGGGACTTAACTTTGGCACAAGCAACTTCAAAAAAACTTTATTATGATGATGGTGAGTGGGGCATGTCCTAACCATGGCAAGAAAGTAGGACTGCTATTATGGGGTCAGTCCTTGAATCTCAGTCTTCGTGTTTTTGAACGTGTTACTCATTATCTCCCTACTCCTGAGAGCAGCTGATGGGTAAGTATTAAGTAAGATGGACTTTACACCCACAACAATCATGAAGTCAGACAACTTTGTGAAAGAAGTGCATATGTAGAGCTTTGCTAGCAATGATCAGACAGCTCTTATTGATTTCTCCAGTCAAAAGCTTAATTGTGTGCTGTTTCAGGACATAGGGTTCACCCCGATTAAATATGTTTACAATGTCTTTAAATATTTATATGTATAAATGTTTGTATTTAAATGAAAAAGAAAAAAGAATGAAATAGAACCCAGAGTGTGAATTTTGTAGCCCAGACATTTGTGGTGTGCACTGCAAGGTTATTTAGTTCGCTGGCATATCTAGAAAAAATATGTTAATTTTCAGCTCTTAATTTTTTTGGCAATGTAATGATTGCACTTACAATAGAAATAGATTATCATTCTGGAGCAATGTAGCAAATGAATGGCTATGTTGATAGATAATGCAATACCTTTGGAATGGCTCATGCAATTTTTGGAACATGCAGGTTATATCCATTTGCTGATAAAATCAAATGTCCTGTCCTCTTGACAGCACAGGAGCTTAAAGTACTTTGGACCTGTAATCAGATACTGTAGTATAAAGTGCCCCCAAATGACCAAGGCTTAAGATGAGACTAATGATAATCACAGCGACTCTTCTCTGGCTTCTCGTTTATCTGAGATTGATGTTGATGTGAAGAATGAGTGCTTGCATCTCAACATCAGCATTTTCCTGCTAAAGCCAGATCAGTTTTTCTTTCAGTTTTCATATGAAGTGGAGACATCAGTTGCATAAATGAGGCATTAAGGACAGGGACAATTATTTAGGACATGAGAGCATACATTACTCGCTATGGCGTCTGACTTTATTCACCTTGCGTTTGTTCTGTGTTCCAAAACACCTTGTGTCCTTCCAACACTGCTCTGTCTGGTGATTAAATTCACTCTCAAATTGTCAAGAAACCAATGGGCCTGAATAAAGAGTACGTTTCAAGACAAGGGTGAGTTGCCTTTGGCTTGATGGCGTTCAAGAAATCAATTTGAAATCTCAGCATTTTAATGAAAATAAGTGTGTGTGTTTAGGAACACATTTCCAATAATCTGCTGTGACAGGTTCTGCCACTGACTTCCAGTGGCATTTGAAGAAGATGCATTTTGTTGTCATGTACAAAGAACATCATTTCTTGTTTATTGGTGATAGCATTGATGCATATTTCCTGCAAATGTGTCGTTGTGTATTTGGGTGGTAAGGGCATTAAAATGACTGTGCATAAAATGACTGGGATCAAACAGACATGTGAGGTCACAAGGAGAAGAGATGAAATGAATGCTTTTAAAAATAAGTTGGTTGTGGTTTCTGCCATGTCTTCTACCTCAGATTCACAGTGCCCTGAAAAAAGTTGCCGTATGGATGATGAGACATCTGAGAAGAGAAAATATGTTCGTTGAGCAAAAGCAGCTGTTTATTACTTGGCCCTGTGCAGCAATAGCATGTGTCTGTTACGATGGGAAGTCGGGAAGTAGGAGTTGGAGGAGACCTTAACCTCTTGTTAAGGTTATCAAAGCAGGTAGGGGCTGGGGTGGGGCCTTTGTCTGAGCAGTGTGTCCTTTCCCAAGCACTCTGCTAGTGATGCACTGTTGAAGGGATTTAGTATGAATTTGGGAAAGTGAGAGATGTTGCTTGAAAATGTTACACTTTGAAAATTTCAGTGGTTCTTCAGAGAATGAGTATGAAAAGTGAGTCTTGCCCAACTGCAAGATGTACAAGATCCCACTTGTACACTGGGAAGTACAGTGCTTGGTTTTTTTGCTTACTATTGTTAAGGGTATATCCCCATGGTTTGTCCAGAAAGTAGGTCACTTCAGATGCCTGGTAAACTTGCAGCTGAAAAAATCCATGTTAAGTGAAATCTGATGCTGCTTCTGTCAAAGAGTATAATGCAAAGGTGGTGATGCCGTCAGTGTGAGACCCAGTCAGTGCTCAATTAGGAGGACTAATTTGCTAATGGTCTACAGTATACAACCTAGTGAGATGCAAGGAAAAAAGCGGTGTTGTTTTTATGTTGTTGTTTGTTTATTTTAAGGGGATCAGAAGAGAAATTTGTTTAAACACTGGGGCTAATAAATCTGACACCAAAAAGCTTGTGGGCAATTATTTGATGACACTTAAGAGTGAGTGGGAAAAGAGGGTGTTTGCTGCTTCGAACAGCATTGTTAGTCTTGTATATTCTGCTGGGGGAAAATAGAAGATTTTAGCTTTTTCTGCTTCTCTGCGCTAGAAGCACTGAAGGAATTCTGCTGCTTCAGAACTGATACTCAAATGTATGCTTGGAAGTGGCAGTAAAAGGTAAAAATCCTATGGGTCAGGAACAGTTGAGAACCAGGAGACTGCAGAAGAAGGCATTTTGCATCCTTGTGCTTCTAAGCTAGCCTGTAAACATGAACAAGGTTATGTAAGGATTTGTATTTTCTTTGTATTTGCTGGAGAAAGATGTCTCAGAGCTAGGAAAAAGCCCTTGGAATGAGGATTAGGAAGAAGGGGGATAAAAGTCATGTTTACTTTGTCCCACCCTCAGCTCATTTTCCCCTGAAAAATAAGTCTGACACAATAGCATGAAAACACGTCCAAGGAGGCATACTTATAGTGTATGTCTTGGCATCAAATGTTACAGCTGAGTTCCGCAACTACATCCCTTCCAAGCATCATAACCATCTTTCTCCTCCCTGGGGAGTGCTTTCTGGAGAACTGGCATGGCCTTGTGCTCCATGGCTTAAGAAATTTGGGTCTCATCCTGACTCTGTCCCAGGTTTCTTATGGAAATTTCTCTTGATCTTCCAGTAAAATGAAGGTACTGTCTGTTTTCCCTTTTTTTCTTCTCTTCCCCTATTCCAACCTGTTTAATATGCAAGCTCAAGCTGACTGCTACTCACAGGCAGAGCATAGCCTAAGGATAACGAAGGCTCTGGTTGCTATCTCCTTGCTAATGACAGTACTCAGTTTCCATCAGGCATTTTAGTGCTGAATAGGTAGTCAGGTTCAGCAGTAGACTAAGGTTTTAATTATTTTATTCTAATTAAAACTCAATTGCCATAGTCTACATTCAGAGTCCTTTCAGAGGGAAGGGTGCATCAGTAAGACATTGAGACAGTGAGCCTATTACTGCTTGCAGAGACCCTTTGCACCTTGCTCAGAGCAAACCCCTGAGAGCTAGTACCTGCTGATGCGCACCTTCTTGGGGATTATTCTAACAATGCTTTGCTACAACGTTACCTCATTGATAAGAAAAAGTCTGATTTCATGGCTACCCCCCATGAATGCATCCATACTGAGATGGTTTGGGATATTGAAGTGCTGTCTAGCTGATGCTCTGAGAGGAATTGTTGTCCAGTTGGTGGCAGAATGCAAAGGTAAATTTTTGTGTGATGTGATGTTCAGCCTAATTGCAATTTCAGGTGGGTGTTTTTATTAGTTCTTATTTGGAGTCAGCTTCTGTCTGTATCTGAGCTGAAGGCCCCAAAGGAGAATATGGCCATGGCTCTGGGTTGGTGTGGTTTATGGTGGATACATTGGAAGCAAAGTGGGGTCAGGAACAGTTGAGTGGGTTCTGGGCCAAGTCATTCAAGGAGTAGATTATAATTTACTCTCTTGAGAAAGCAATTGCGCTACAGAGTCTTTTTCTGTACCAAATTATAGTGGCTGCATTTAGTCTTTTCCTGGAAGTCTCAATTCCTTGTGGGCTGTCCCTGGGCCTGTAGTTACTTTTCAGTGAAGGATGTGTCATACAGCAGCTTGTAACTGCTGGGGATGGGGCCTCCTGGGAACTACTGGGGGCTACTGGATTGCAAAAGGTGCCAATAGAGATGTAGTGCAGCCAATTTCCCCAACTGTCTCATCTGAATATAGATAGCTAAGCTAAGGCATGCTCCTGCTCATCTGTTTTCTGCTGGAAGAGGCATGGCAAATTCTTTGTGTGCTCTCAATGCAGACATCCATAGTATAGGGACAAGGTGGTGTGAGAGCACTGGTCAGGCTATTTTTATCCAAAAATTCTGTATCTTTTGGCTCCCTGGTCCATTAAGGGAATGACTGAGGGAGGTGAGAGGGGAACTGGTGACTTCTGATATAGAATCTCATAGTCATTAAGGCTGGAAAAGATCTCTAAGATCACAGTGTCCAACCATCATCACTACCATGCCCACTAACCCATGTCCTCCAGTGCCACATCTCTGTGGTTCTTGAATACCTCCAGGGACAGCGACACCTCCACCTCCCTGGAAGCCTGTTTCATTGTATTACCACTCCTTCTGAGAATAAGTTTTTCCTAATATCTAACCTGAGTCCTGCATATCCTCTGTAATCTAGTTCTGCCACAGAGCTTTCAGAGAAGCTAAGATTCACTGTAAACATTGTTTTGCAGCTCCTGTCTTTTCTTTCAAATAATACCAGCAAACGCTTTTCAAAGGATCTTTGCTTCCTTTCAACCCTCCATTGTTTTGTGTTTTTTTAAATCTCTTCTAGCCTGTTTCTTCTTGGCTTTGTGCATTTTGCAGCTCCCTTTACGTGTCTGGGTCACATAATGAGCTCTAGGTCCAACACCCTGCTGCCTGGTGCTTTGTGCTGCTTCCTCCCCTCCAACTTTCACCATTTTTTCTTCTGATAACAGGAAAATCTGCCCTTGGACATTCGAGAGCTATAACCTCAATGATGCAGACGTTTTATTTTGTTTCTCTGTGTCAGATGGAAGCTGTACCCCCGGGTGCTCAGGGACGTGTCTGTAATGGACCTTTCAACTTCAGTCTTGGGGCAGAAAATCAGCATGCCGGTCTGTGTTGCGGCAACTGCTATGCAGCGCATGGCTCACCCTGATGGAGAGACGGCAACCGCTAAAGGTAAATTGTGCAGAGTCCCTGCAATCCTCTTGCTCCTATCTCTGAAGAAACAAAGTTAGGTCTTGTTGGGAAGGGGGCAGGCGAGTGATTTTTTTTTTTCAGTGTCTTCAGATGGAGAAGATAGATGCTCAGGACATCAGAGAAGGAGGTGACCTACCTGCATCCCAGATTTAAGGCGTGTGTTTTTTACCCATACATCTTCAATTGTGTTTGCAGTCTGGTAACATGTCAGTCTAGTAGCTCTTAATTTTCAAGAGTGAAAAGGGAGGAGAAAAAAGTGCTATCCACTTTAAGCCAGGTCACCCAACAAATACACACCACAAAGTGGGGATCTGGGCTCGGAGGAGACAAAGTGCGGTGAGTGCAACATCTCTGTATCGGTGATCTGGGGGCTGAGTCATGACCATAGGAGTCCTCTTTTCAACTCTTATCTATTGTAAATGCCTTCCGATTGAAGTGTGGTGTCGTTTTGGAGAACTGGCTAAGAGGTTTTTGTAATCTTCTGTAATGCAGATAAATAGATTCCCTAATTGTTTGTAGGATCAGAAGAGGCTACAGTGCTTAGCTAATATGACTGCATAATGTTAGTCCAACATCTGTTGATGGGTTATTTTTGCACTGCTTTGGCCCTTGTGGGATAGTCTCTTGGTCTTGATTTGGGAATGAAGTGGTAGAGAGAAGTCACCAGAAGTAGCAATTAAAAAATAAAAATTGTCTGATTTCTGGCTTGAGTCTCTGTCTTGGCAGCTTTGGACACTTTTTGTTTGGCTGATGAGTTGCCTGATGTCAGAAACTTCCCCGTGGTGTCCTCCTTGCCCACTTCACGAAGTTCTTCACACCATGACAGCTGCTCTGCTTTCTTGTAACAAAATATATTTCACTGGCCTGTAGGAATCCTAGATATCATTTGTAATTTAAAAAATGAAAACAGGATCTATATATTTTATATACGTTCTATAAATATAAATGTATATGTGTTTCCATGACAAGAAATGCTTGCTGTCACAAAACCTTTTATGTACCCCGGTGGCCATCCATGTCTTTGCTTCCAGAAATGCACAAGCTTTTGCCTATCTCAGAACAATCTTTTTTTTTTTTCTTTTTTCTTTGTATATAGCTCTTTGAGCATATCCCAGGGAGCCAGCAAGATAGGGGTCCTCTGGGCTAAATTTGACACAAAGATGCTTTCAAAGTGGAGCCTACAGCCTAAAAGGATGTGAGAAATGCGATAATTCAGATGTGAAACTTTCTCACTCATTTAATTCGAACTGCAAAATGATTTCCAGAAGAGGTCACACTGTTTGTGTGCAGCAGGCAGAGTCAGGGTGTGCATCTCAATACTCCAGAATGAGCAGAATAGCAGAATGAGAAAGGTTACAAGACGTATAGCTCCTGTGAGCTATTTAATTTAACAACATTTCCATGATCAATGCAGCAAATGCCAGTGTGAAGTGAATCTAATTGTAAACATTGCAGTGAGCTGATCTCAATCCCTATTAACAACCAGCATGGCTGGGATGTGCCCTGTGATGAGCTGCAGCCTTTCTGTGTTGCTGTCGTAGGGCTCCAGCAAACTTGGCCCTGTCACAAGGTTTACATTTTGCTCATCAGCAAGGAGCAGTCTGAATCTTATTTCTGTCAAAGGTTTCTTTGATAGTAGTGTATTTGAGCATACTTCTATTTTTTTTTTAAGAGATTTATTAGAAAGCCAGATGGTATGTGCAGGCACACTCCACACGATGGAGCTCAAATACCTTGAACTGGTTTGAGAAGCTGTGTTCTGTCAGCTGTGTTAGTGTTGTCCTGTCCTTTGGCAACACTCGTAGATTATTTCTGGCCCAGGTTATGCTGGAAGAAAACCCTGAAGCATAGTGCTGTTAAGTGCAAACACATTAATGCCATGTTAAGAGTGAGATTAGAAATGCACAAAACCCAGGATGTTCCTTAGCAAACCTTCCCACTGACACTGTTGCCTGGCCACATCTTAAGTCATAAATCTGTAACTGCATATACGATCAAGTGATAAAATCAGGCTATCTACCAGGGCTGAGTTATGGCTGTGGTAGATAACTTCATTTTGGAATTTCCTGACTCTTTCGCATTTAGTTTCAAACTTTAACATATGATTATTGCATTTAACATTCTTGGATCTTCAAGACAGCAGAGCTTGGTGTACTGGCAGTGGTTTGAATATGTGGCCAAATAAACGTATCCTTGGAGCTGGTAAAATTTTCATCACTTTCAAAGGAGAGTGCAATTAAAATCACACCCTCTGTATTGCATTAGCATTTCTTGTAGAAAAAAGTCTTTGGTTTTGTGCTCTGTTAGAGGTGGAGCAGGGCATTCAGTGCCAAGCTTTTGGTCTGACCTTATAAGATGACAGGAGTTAGCTGTAAAGTACACGTTTGGCTTAAAGCTTTCCTTAGAATTGGGACATTTGGGATCAAGGATTTTGCTACATCCAAATTCTCTTTAACTTAGCAATACCTCAGAAATGAAGTGGCCAGATTGTTGGTTGCTTTATATTGGTTCTTGCTTTAGCTGCACCACGGTTCACACAAGCCAAGAAAGTCTGATCATAGTCTTGTGGCTTTTGGAAAACACCACGTACTTGTATGCTTGAATTTTGGCTCAGGTATGTAGGAAGCGACTCATGCAGTGGTGCCTCTGCTGTTGTGATGGCCCTTGGAAAACATGGTGTGGTCTGAGTCTTGTCCCTCCTGGTCTGAGCAGGCGTAGTGAACCTTGACTCACACTCAGGAGCATGGCAGCTGCCCAGTAGAGCACCCACAGTGCACACGTGTGTGTATAGTGTGCTCAGGCAGTTCGCAGCAGGTGCCACAAGCAACAGAGCTGCCTGGCTGCGATTAAACCTCAAGAGATGGTCTCGGATTCATGTTATTTTCACCTGCAGAACAGGGTGGTACAGGTAGAAATAACAAGCTTTTTCCATGCTTCAAAAGCAATGCCTAATCCTCCCAGCTACTTCTATTAAGCAACAACATTTTGCTTTGAAATGCTGTATTCTTTCAGTACCTTCATCCACAGAGAAGGGCATCTATGTCATGCTGTCTCTCATTGGATAAAACTCCCTTTCCTTGCAGACCCTTTGCTTCGTGGCTTGTTGAATTTTTGAGAACTGCTGCTGCTCAAGTGACGCTCCCGCACAAGTGACCAAGCTGGTGGGAAAGAGCATGTATCTGATCTTAAATAGGTCTAAGTCAGGCTGATTCTCTTAAACACACCTTCATCAACAATCCTGTTTCATTGATAAAGGTTATTTTTTTTAGAAAAAACATTGAATTGTGATATTAAAAGTTCCTAATGATAAGACTGAACACAATGTTTGTAAGTCACTCTAAAGTTTAACTAATTCCACTCTTAACAGTATAGGCTGTAATTATGGTCAGAACTTGCATGATTTCAAATTCTAGAGAGTAGATTGCTAGACTATGTAGATATAAATATATAGGCAGCAATATGTTTCCTCCTCAGCTTTTCTTGCCTAAATGGACTTGGAGTTCTTCCTTATAGAGAATGCTTCCTTGTCCTTTAAACAATTCCATGGATCTTGGCAGAAGTTAATCCATTTTTTTCAGGGCTTTCTTTAAGTATATTCCCTGGATTTTAGTTACAGTCAATTGGTGTGTATGGAAATGTTGCAAATAATGGATTTTCTTTTCATGAGAAACTGAAAAATTGGGTGGAAAATGGTTTTGGATTAACTGACATGTTTAATTTGATCTAAAAGACAACGTTTTATTGAATTTTCCTACTAGCCAATGCTTTTAACCATAGCTTACTGTTGAAACATAAGTGTTAGCTTGGAAAAAAACATTTCCATTTTGAAAATATCAACGTGTGACATTTTGACTTAGAGTGATTTTTTTCTTGTCCTTCTCACTCAAATTTCAACTCTGTTAACTAAAAATATTTGCCAAATTTGATGAATAATTTTAGCCACCATTAAAGAGTAAAGGGCTTCTCTCAAAACACCTTTCAGCGGAAATTTTCTAATTCTACACAGTATTTTTCTGTTGTCCGAAAAATGTCCACTATTTCTTCATGCAATGACATGAATTTGCCACCCCAGCTTCACAATGTGCTCACAAACCACTGTGATTTCCATATAGTCTTCAGTCAGTATTCCATTGAAGTGAAGTAGGACTCATGGTCCTGTAAATGAGATTCACCTTGCAGTATACTTAAGCTGGATACTGCTTAAGATTTTATTTCTTAACAAGAAATAGCAGTTTCTTGATATCTCAGTTCATCATTAACAGATATGAACAATTATTTTTATCAAGACTTCTACTCTGTTATATATTGATGCTATTTACATAATCCTGTCTTAATTCTTACTGACTTATTTCCTAGTATTCTGTTGGTTCAACTCAGAAGCAGTACTGCAGTAACTGATTTCTCTTAAACTTGCTTAAAATTAGGCTGAACAGCTTGGGTGTTTTCTTGGCCAGATCTTTTGAAAAATTGGAATGTTAGTTGTTCAGATCTGATGATTTTATTTACTCTCTGCGATTGCTCTCAAATGGGTTTCTGAGTTACTTCTGACTCAAGAAGGATTTCACCACCACCTGAGATGCATCTGCACAGTCTACTTTGCCAAATAGAGAATAGGAATACTGACTGAAATGCTTTCTCCAACTCTGTTTAGTTACTGTCAGCTCTATCATTTTCACCTAGGCTGGGAGCAATACCTTATTCCTTTGGCTTTAACAGACTTATGAAAATGTTTTTCATTTTCTTTAGTGCTGCTGGTCCTCTGAATTCAGGTTCTTTGTGCTCATCTGGTGTGCCCATCCATGACACCAAGTGAGGGATTTTGTTGTCTGTTGCTCTCTGTGCTCAGCCACAGTGACTACAGTAGGACTTTGTACCCATCCCTCACCTGCTGTTCTTATCATGACCCTCCCTTCCCCCCCCCAGAAAAAAAACAAAAACAAAAAAAACCTCTGTATTATAGTTTGGTATGGCTGGGGGAC